CCACAAGGATACGTTCTATTAGGTTGGCGGGAAAGTTCTGTCACTTTTTTCGCGAGACTCAGAATTCGTTACCATTACCAGCAGTGGTACCTGTATTGTAAGCTCTTATACAACAAGAAGTGGTCTCTCTGTTAGTACCACTCGCTTGCCTCTTGCTCCTTCTTCTGCAATATGCACAAGGATTTTATCCGCTACCATCAGCCCCGACCCATCCAACAACTTCCACAAACTATTTCACCCACCACCCTGACGCCAGCGTGTTAGCTGCAGATGCCAAATTGATGGAGCTGAATAAGCACGATGCCCCCAATCATCGAGCAACCTTACCACGACAGTGACGCTTCAAGGCGGGAGCCTAGGGAGCCTACAGTTTTGATGACGAAGTGAGGTTTGGGTTACCTGCAAACTCAGCTTGAGGGAGCTATGGGTCGGGAAACTGCTGGATGAAGAAGCTGCTTCCTTGGTCAAGGCGTACGCAAAGCAGCTACGAGATCTAAGGCGTATCGTGGATCAGAGGGAAAAATTTGTCCGCACAGCCGGCCCTCACCAAGATAGTGCAACGCACTTGGTCCAAAAAAGTTCGAGCCGTACCTCATGCAATGGAGCTTGATCTCTCTCCCCTTGCACTTGTGTAGCACAGACATCGCCCCTTCTAATAGCAAGTTGCCTTCCGTAATCGATCGTTATGCGGACGAGAAGGATGGTGTCCAACTTTGCGTCGTGTCTCCCTGCATAGTGAAGCGATGGCATCCATGAGGTGCTCAAACAGTGGCAAGGACCCCGCAGTATTGCTGTACAATTTTGATCTTACACTCCTCTCTATAAAAAGAAAGCCTAGTTTGAAAAAATGTGACAGAACTTTCCCGCCAACCTAATACATGTATTTCTGGCTATTCGAACACGCTCGCTTGAAACCGTACACAGAAAACGGACTTTCGAACAGTTCGGAGTGTTCCCCAAATAATCCCCAACGCAATTATCTCATGACTCCCGGAAGCTTCAAAAAACGTTCAAGTAGTTTTTGGAAAGAGCAAATCTTCTAGAACTCGACAGTAGTTTCAGATTCCCAAACTATTGAGGTTCAAGGGAAATATCTTGGTTCAAACCTGTAAAACTCGCTCTGCAAACTATCCAAAAAAATCCCCAACGCAAATTTTCTCTATGAATTTGGCGACCTTTATGAACATGTCAGTATGTTTTGGAAAGCTCAAATCTTTCTCTATACGACTGCGTTCTTTCTTTCCCACAGGTCCGCTATTAAGGAAGTTATGGCCCTTTAAAGACACCCCACTTTCCTGAAAATCCGCGCTCCAATCAAACCACCTGCAACCACCTTGCGGCTGTGGGTCCTGCCCAGAATCCCATCCTCCTTTAAACAGCTGGTTTGCATTTCGGCTGATTCTCCATTCATTTTTTTTCAATTTGTAGTTTACTTTTTCGATGAGGTCAACGTGGATTGGAGGTGAGATGCCGCGCTGAACGACTAACCCATAACAGGTCCCATCGCAATGTTCTGTGTGTAGTTACGTTCTAACCATTATTTGTTCTATCTGGAAAAACCATCCTTACATGCGCCATTTCTTCAGCTCAAGTTCGAAATGTTTCTGAAGCTTCTTATTGCGCGTAGAGAGTCACAGCTCACAGCTTAGTCATTGAGATCAAACCCTCGTAGTCGAACGTTCTAAGCAGTGCTGAGGGAGAATAATCCTTTTCCATACACGCAAAAATCGAGCTGCTACTGCTGCCCCACTTCCTCAATCAAGCGGAGAATCGGAAACAGAAAAGCTTATTCTCTTCAGCTTGACTCTCGGCGTCAATGCTTATAAAAATCTAACTGATATTCAGCGAGCGGAAACCTGAGCATGTATCATGCATGAGGAGCAAGACACTTTCTCCTAGGCAGCACTGGAAGCGTTGGAATAGCAGTTTTCCTTTCACACAGCTTTTAATCTTGTTGCGAGTATGTGTGTGTGTGTGTGTGTGTGTGTGTGTGTGTGTGTGTGTGTGTGTGTTGTGTGTGTGTGTGTGTGTGTGTGTGTGTGTGTGTGTGTGTGTGTGTGTGTGTGTGTGTGTGTGTGTGTGTGTGTGTGTGTGTGTGTGTGTGTGTGTGTGTCAGACCCCAATCGTCCAACCGTGTTGTGTGTGTTGTGTGTTGTGCGGTGTGTGTGTGGTGTGTGTGTGTGTGTGTGTGTGTGTGTGGTGTGTGTGTGTGTGTGTGTGTGTGTGTGTGTGTGTGTGTGTGTGTGTGTGTGTGTGTGTGTGTGTGTGTGTGTGTGTGTGTGTGTGTGTGTGTGTGTGTGTGTGTGTGTGTGTGTGTGTGTGTGTGTGTGTGTGTGTGTGTGTGTGTGTGTGTGTGTGTGTGTGTGTGTGTGTGTGTGTGTGTGGTGTGTGTGTGTGTGTGTGTGTGTGTGTGTGTGTGTGTTACCGAAACTTCACCAAACTTCCTTCAAATTGCCACAGAGTGCTCAAAATGATAGGTGTCAGGGTGCAGCATCGTGTGAAATGGTTGTATCAGTAGGACCCCCCCTCCTCCCTCCGGAGGGGGAAGAATATAGCCAAGTGTGAGTATGTGTGTGTATGCGCACATAAGTGTATGTGTGTATGTGTGTATGGCCGTGTAGTGTATGTGTGTATGATGTGTATTTGTGTGTATGTGTGCAAGTGCGCATGTGTGTGTGTGCATGTGCGTATGTGTGGATGTGTATATGTGTGCATGTGTGTGAATGTGTGTATGTGAGTATGTGTATACATATGTGTGTACGTCCGTGTGTATGTCTGTATGTCCGTGTGTGTATGTGTGTATGTTGCGTGTGTGACCGGAAACTCACAACTTCCTTCAAATGGACCACAGAGTGCTCAAACTGATAGTTTCAGGGGTGCAGCATCGGTTGAATGGTGGTGTCAGTAGGCCCCCCCTCTCCCTCGCAGAAGTGAGAAGAATATAGCCAAGGTGTGATTTCTGGTTGTATCGCATATAAAGGTATGTTGTGATAATGTATGTTTATTCGTGTTTTATGTGTGCCATGATGAATATTTGTGTGTGCGAAGCTGCGCATGTGGTGTGTGCTGCATTGGCTGCGTATGTTGTGGATGTGTTATGTGTGCACTGTGTGTGAATGTCTGTAATGGTGTGCATGTGACCGGACGTATGTGACATACATATGTTCGTGTACCGTCCGTGTGTATGTCTGTATGTCCGTGTGTGTATGTGTGTATGTTGCGTGTGTGACCGGAAACTCACAACTTCCTTCAAATTGGCCACAGAGTGCTCAAAATGATAGGTGTCAGGGTGCAGCATCGTGTGAAATGGTTGTATCAGTAGGACCCCCCCTCCTCCCTCCGGAGGGGGAAGAATATAGCCAAGTGTGAGTATGTGTGTGTATGCGCACATAAGTGTATGTGTGTAATGTTGTGAGCCGGGTGTGTGTATGTGTGTATGATGTGTATTTGTGTGTATGTGTGCAAGTGCGCATGTGTGTGTGTGCATGTGCGTATGTGTGGATGTGTATATGTGTGCATGTGTGTGAATGTGTGTATGTGTGCATGTGAGTATGTGTATACATATGTGTGTACGTCCGTGCTGTAATAGTCTGTAATGTCCGTTGTGTGTATGTGGTATGTTGCGTGGTGTGACGCGGAACTCAACAACATTCCTTCAATATGGACCACAGACGCTGCTGCAAACATGATAGGATTCAGGTGGCAGACATCGTGTGAAATGGTGTGTCAGTAGGACCCCCCCCCCCTCCTCGTGAGAAGAACTAATAGACCAAGTGTGTTGTAATCTGTGGTATGCGCCATGTAAGCTGTATGTGTGTATGTATGTTATTTGTGTTATGTGTGCATGTGAGTATTTGTCGTGTGCCATAGTGTGTATGTGATGTGTGTGCATGTGAGTATGAGTGCACATATGTGCGTACATAGAGTCCTCATCATTGCGGACCGGTGGGGCGTGTCAGCACAGTACGAGTGTGCACACTGTTTGAAGCCGTTCTCAGCCTTTTTGTTGAAACGCGTATGCGACAAAAAGTGGTAGAAAACGAGTAAACGAGGGATATAATGCAGTCATATCATTGCTCGCCTTAAATACTGGTGGAGAGCGGGTTTGGCACCGCGCCAAACAGCCGCACTGAACTGCCCCGACAGTACGTAATGATGAGTACTGTATGTGTACGTCTGTATGTATGTCTGTATGTCCGTGTGTGGATGTGTGTATGTGTAATACATATGTGTGTACGGCGTCCGTGTGTATGCTGTATTGTCCCGTGTGTGTAGTGTGTATGCTTAGCGGTGTGACCGGAAACTCACAACTTCCTTTAAATGGGCCAGAGAGTGCTCAATCTGATTGGTGTCAGGGTGCAGCATCGTATGAAATGGTGGTGTCAGTGGGATCCCCCCCCACTCCTCCCTGCGGAGGGGGAAGAATATACAGGGCACAGCATTAGTCGGGGATTCGCGGGCCGAACGCAACGACCTCGCCCCCCCTTTTTGGGGTTCAGTACGACCCCCCCCCTTTTTTTTCTTACAGTTTGTTTTTCTTTTCGAGCTCGAGCTAGGCACTAGAGCTATATGGCGGCTCTAGGTTGTAAAGGCATAAAGTGATTCCAACAAAGTTGAGAATAACGCTGTCAACTTTTGTGAACACCAAGGATGTGAAGTAGCGAATGTGCTGATCATTTCTGCATTTCTTCACCGTCGCACTGCGACGTGAAGGCCCATCGCGGATAGAACGTTCAACTACGAGGGCTTGATCTCAATGAGCAACTTGTGAGCTACGACTCTCCACGCGCAATAAGAAGCTTCAGAAACATTTCGAACTTGAGCTGAAGAAATGGCGCATGTAAGGATGGTTTTTCCAGATAGAACAAATAATGGTTAGAACGTAACTACACACAGAACATTGCGATGGGACCTGTTATGGGTTAATCGTTTAGCGCGCGGCATCTCACCTCCAATCCACGTTGACCTCATCGAAAAAGTAAACTACAAATTGAAAAAAAATGAATGGAAGATCAGGCCCGAATATGAACGCACGGTTTGAAGGAGAAATGGGATTTCTGGGCATGGACCCAACAAGCCGGCAATGTGGTTGGCAGTGGTCTGGATTGAGCGCGGGTTTTTCAGGAACGTGGGTGTCTTTTAAAGGGCCAATAACTTCCTCGATCAGCGGCCACCTGTGGAAGAAAAAAAACCCATTCGTATAGAGAAAGATTTGAGCTTTCCAAAACATTCTGAAGTGTTCATAAAGGTCGCCAAATTCACAAGGAAAATTTGCGTAGGGATTTTTTTGGATAGTTTTCAGAGCGAGTTTCACAGGCTTGAACCAAGACTATTTCGCTTTGAACGAGCTCAAATACATTAAGACAATTCCCGCGATCAAGTGTTACGGGTAGTTGGTGCTCAGTCATGAACCAGTGGCCCATAAGTAGCTCCTCAGTAGAAAAAGAAGCGAAAAAACCTCGGGAACACCCTAAACACAGACCTCCCCTCAGCAGTGGGCAGCGTCATTGGACGAGTATGTGGGAACGCGTTCTCCATAGCGATTGGAGTGCAAAGCTCGAGACGTGCGAGAGTGGCGTGAGCGCCAGACACTTTCTGGCGATGCGAAATTTGTGTTTTAAGGTTGAAGAAAACGACATGCTTAGCCTTTTCTTAAAAAGCACGATAGAAAAACTGGTCTGATGTCGGAAGATTGGGCTAGTAACAACTGAATAGTACCCCCATCTAAAGATCATCAGGTGAGTCTGAGAAATACACGCAATGCTCTTCAATCACATCCTCCTGGTAGAAATCGAGCTAGGGAAAGCATTGAGGACAGACTACCTGCTCTTCAGTTCACGTCCTTCCCATCGCTTGCAGAGTATGAAACTCAAGAAAGGCTTGCTGCTCTTTTGTTCACATCCTCCTAATGGAATCGCGCTTGCAAAGACTATGGAACCCTAAAACAGCCTAAGCGTCTTCAATTTATGTCCAACGGTGCGAGGTTTGCGCTTAATCGCTATGGAAAGCGCGGATCACCGAAGATGGCAAAGTGCCAGAAGCGCCGCGCGCGACACGTGCCGCGCGGGTGTTGTAGGAATAGAAGCTTGTGAGCCGTTGTCTCGTACAGCTACAGTATGATGTCGCACGTGTTGCCACGCTCACGTGTCTCTAACTTCTTTATCTCGCCGTTTTGAGGGACGAAAGTGGCATGTTCTCACTGAACGCGTATAACAGTTCAAAAGGTACGGAGTCGTTTTGAGTACCACTTGATCGCGAGGTCTCCATAGGCGTATGGTACGATAGTTTGGTACACTGCTTGAAATGCTAGTAGGGTGCTACTTAGTGGGGAAAATGGCGAAACAATAAAGTGAAACGGTCAAAACCTGCAGAAAAGCCTTCGTTTTACACGACACAGAAAGCAGTTCCGGACAAGTTTCCCGTAGGCACCTTGCCAATAAATGCTACGGTGGGTACGGCTGCATGTATGTACTTATCTATCCATGCAGCACCGCGGCCGCTTCACATCAATCCTTCGCTTCATACTTCGCAAATGAAGCAATACGAGCATCACGTGCGGTCGTCCATTTGTGGGCGGGCGGGCGCGGTAGGCGTTCGGGTTGGTATGTTGCAGCTTGATAGGCCCTTATAAGGGTCTGTTCCTTGGGAAAGGCGTCACGCAGCGCACCGATTGTACGTCTATGTCTGAGCTTCTAGGAATAGATGAGCAGTGACTACGATAGCAAGTTCACAAGCATCCCTGCACGTGATGGTGACACTTTGGGAGAGTGTTGAAACATCTTATGATCTTTACTGAATCCTACTATCAGGTGCAGGCATTCTTGAATAAGCTGGTTCAGCGAGCTTCAAATAAGACAAAACAGGGCGTCCGGAAGTCGCAATGAGATGTGAGAGCTTTCTGAACCGACTATGAGCCTTCCCAAGAGTTGCGACGCTTTGTCTACCAACTCACCTAGCTTCAGCCTCTCGGAGTTTTCAGCAAAGCTTGTTTTTTCTAGACTCAACTTCATTTCAGCCATTCGCAAATCGGTAGGAAGTGGCTCTTCATGGGTCAACTCAATAGTTTCCTATTCAGGTCATCAACTACTGAGACTCTCCCAACTACCACGATAACAACAACTGCTCCGACAACTGCGACTGAACGGACTACCACGACTGCTCCTACTACAGAAACAACTACCACAACACCACCGGACACCACTAGTACTGTGGCATTCACAGATACTACGAGTTTAACCTCTTCCACAACCATTAGGACTATGACCGCCGCTACGACTACCACAACCGAAACCACTACGCCTGAGGTGAGTCGTCATTCATTCATGACTGCGCTATGTCCGTCGCTGCTTTTCATCACTGTATTGGCTGACGACTATCTGTCCCTGGCACCTGCTCCTGCCTCATTTTCCAGCGTCCTCTGCACATACTTATCACTTGCCGCATTCATATCACCGCGTGGACTGACAGTCAGTGCATCGGTGCATTTTGTCGACGGGGGGGGGCATCCTGCTTTCCATAGATGTGCCAACCCATCTAGGTAGCCTTTTCTCGAGTTGACACGTTTTAGGATGGTGGCTAGACGATCTTGCTCCAGCTTCACAAGTTTTACCAGAGTGAGATTTGTAAACCGGAACTAGAGAAGCAATGGTAGTACAAAATGCCCCCCCCCCGTCGACAAACAGCGCCCGGTGCATCTATGTGGGGTCTTGTATAACACTTGTGCGACTGCAGTAGGCTGCTACCTTGGCCACTTCATATAATGAGTTTGTAACAAAGCTTCATATACTTTCTAGCTTTGTTAGTTGTTGGTATACCCCACTGGCTACCTCCAGTTGCGATGTAGACTGGCTACAAATCTAGCGGGTCGCAACACGCAACACCAAGTGCTCCCTTGCTGAACCTTCGAGGCCACACAACATGTGAGTGGCACAGATACATATTGGTTGATACATGGTGGCTAAAAAATTTAGCTGCGCAAAAAATGCTCCTCTTTCAAAAGTGCCCCTTCCCTCCTAACTAGTTTTTTTTCGTTAGTACTACTACACTGAATCAGAAGGAATGTGGAGTTTCCACCACTAGCTTGCCGTACGGGACTTCAAACGACATATGACGAGTTCACTTCCAAATCCGCCGCTGACAAGTTCATGTAAAATTGACAGCTTCAAGGTTAAAGGTGTTCACATAATGGCGTTTTTTTTCACGCTCTCTCTCTATCTTCTACGAAGTCACACAGGGGAAAGAAATGAGTAGAAATACTGGAAAACACCTGGTCTTCGTTACGACATCTCAACGCTTGCATCCCCTAGGCAGTCTGAATATCCATTTAGAACCATGAGGGGCTTCCAGAAACAGGTTACCGTGGCGAAGTTTCACTTCCAGGGGTTCTTCGAGTCAGAACTACTAGCTGGCAATCTTTGTCAGTTGTACGTACGTTGCGTCGTGAAAATTTTTCCATTCGACGGTACCAACTAGGCGCACCCAGTGCTTCGCTACATAGTTGTGGGGCTTTTTACATGGTCCTGTCGTGGTGTTCGTATCTTCGGTGTTTTAGATTCCCGCAAATCACCCCCGGACTTTTTGATATGGACTTCGAGGAGAAGTCCTCATCTCTGGTGACACGCTTTTTGCGATAGACAAGTTTTGGACTCCCCTCCAAAGACGTCCTTTTTATGGAGAAGAGGAACGGGCCTGCTACAGTGCCATGTTCCCCATTCGGAGGTGCATGGGAACGGGGTTGCAGGGTAAGTGCCATATCCACGCTCCTGATGCACTTTATTCTGGATGTGCAGTACTTGTGTCTAATCAAGGCCCTGTGGCGAAATATCCACTCAGCGGAGAGCAACGAGAATTGAGAGGACGCGGACAAGTAGCGTGTTTGGCTATGGTAAATCGTGTGGCTGGCTGTGCGGCATCGCGAGCGGAGTACGGAGTCTTCGCTCCGGCATCGCTGTACTCCAGCCCCATTCTCATGAATGTTGACCGGACCAAGTGGCTGCATATCCATTCGCCTTACACATAGCAAAGGGCGGGATCAACGAAAGTGAATGCACAATTTGCCTTTGAGTGATCTGACTGATCGTAGCTGGCCTTGTTTCGTTTTCACTTTGACACTGTCGTCGGTACCCCACTGAATGGCTATGTTCTATCCAAGTAGTGAAATTTTCAGTTGATAAACAGAAACGAAGCTTCCTTTCTCAAACTGCGCAACTTATGAAACCGTTTTGCAGTGAAGAAATGGTCGCACAGTGATATTTCCTATTTCTAACCAGGAAAGGATGGTTGGTCGAAGTGGCCATTTGAAATGAGATGTATACCGGCTGATGCGTCTTTGGACACTGATTTCAAATCTGCCCTCCAAATCTGCTAAACGATTCTCCGAGCAGAATTATGGAGGCTTGTTGAGCAGACCACTGCTCGAGACCACCAATGCTCAGCAAGTATCTGAATGATGGGTGAGCTCATTGAAACGCGTGCCTCGATGGTGTAGTGGAGAAGGTACCGGCTCATATGTGCAAGTTCGAGGGTTCGTATCCTTCCTTAGTCCTAGAAGTACTTTTGCGGGGCTAGGAGACCTATTCTTACCAAAAGTGTTTTTTCTGAAGGAAAAGAGCCATTCTGGAACACTCCTGAAGGATACTCCTGATTGTTGGTTTCGGCGGCAATTTTGATCGGCGATAGTGCCAGCTACCTTAAAGGCAGTTGGCACGATGGTTTCCTACTTAGCCTAAAATGCTAGTAGGGCGCTGTATAGTGGGGAAATGGCGAAAGAACGGAGTGAAACGGTCAAAATCCTGCGAAGAAAAAGCCTCCGTTCTCAGTGACTTGTAAATCGATTTCGGACGAGTTTCCCGTAGGCATCTTACCAATCACCGCTACCGAAGATACGGCTGCATATGTGTACCCATGTATGCATGCAGCATCACGGCCGCTTCATACCAATCCCTTCGCTTCATAATTTGCTTAGCAAATGAATGAATACGAGCGTCAGGAACGGTCGTCCATTTGTGGGCGGGCGGGCGTGGCGGGCGTTTGGGACGTAAAGTTGTGGCTTGATAGGGCCCTTATAAGGGCACCTTCCTCGGGGAAACCGCTATGCAGCGCCTGCCCAGGGTCGCGGAATTCTATCCTGCCAGGAGTGTTGATCCTAGTCGTCTTGGGGGATTTATCGTGCCAACTGCCTTTAAGGAATTTGTTGCCCATGGTTACCCCACTATATCGAAAATAGGTCAAAATCTCAGATTTGGTTGAAAACTTGTCTCTAGGGCTAATTTGAGCCCCAGAACACGAATATCACACTCGTTCGGCGTAAAAACGCTTGCCAAGGACGTTGCCGGTTCCTGCACACCCTGCCCCTCCAGAATGCGAACAAGATATTTTCACGAAAAATGACTGCAGTGTTGATTTCCAGAGCACCAGAACACCTCTAACTTCAGATTTCAGCGAATTTGGGGGTTTTGGTGTGCCTCAATACATGCTGGAAATGGGTGTGACCTGGTCAAAATTCCTGCATAACTTTGTCCAGGGAATCGTTTAGCAGATATGGAGGGCAGATTTGTAATCAGCGTCCAAGGGCCCACCGGGTACATCCCATTTCTAATGGCCACTTCGACCAACCATCCTTTCCTGGTAAGAATGTTGTTAGGAGAAATTTCTGAAATGGTATTAGGAGAAGAAAAGCTCGAAACCCTCGCCTTTGAGTGACGCAAAAATGTAAATGGCCGGTATCAGCAACTAAAAACCTCACTTTGGAAAGAGTCGTGGGAAATCCTGATTTGGGGCAACCACCATCCTGTACTGTTCAGGGCAAAGACATGCTTACAGTTATATATCAATAAAGCGCAGCCGTTCCACTACTAAAAGGATAGTGCGCAGCCACACCTGCCACATGTGGATTCGGAGTATATGCCGAAAATGCCCTATCGTTTCAGGATTTGGAAGACTCCCTCACGGGATACCACTACGGTGATTCAGACTCATCATTAAAGTTAGTTTATAGTTTTGCTGAATGCTGAAATTTGAAAAAAAATCGCATATTGCACACTCCGATTTTTCTATTCACAAGTAACGAACCAAATTGTGACTTGATAACTTCCAGACGGGGGGCAGACTATATTGTTAGGGGAAAGTATTTCATTCACGGCCCGAAACCCGAAGCCATATGGCACTATAATTTGGTACTTGCAGTAGCAGCGGTGCTATACAGTGGAAATATGACGAAAAAAGTGAAATGCTGCCAAAAACCCCCGAAAAACCTTTGTTCTGCACGGCATTTGACGACTACTTCTATATGGGGTTCCGTTGGTGTTGTGCCAACGATTTTTTCGATAGAAACGGTTGCACATGTGTATTCATACATCCATGTAGCAGCTCTTTATATCGAGTGTAAAATGAAGCTACAAGAGCACTAGCGCCGACAGGACTGTACGGCCAACTGTGGGCGGGCGGATGCGGTGAGGTGTCCGGGTCGGCATACCGCAGCTTGATAGGGCGTTATAAGGGTACCTTCGTTGTAAAAAGCGTCTTGCAAGGCCTGCTCAGGGGCACCGAAAAAAGTCCTACTGAGTGTGTTTATCCTATACGCCTTGCGGATTTATCGTGCCACTTGCTTTTGAATTCGATCATCGCTCTAAGCTCCGCTGCAGTCTGTTAAGGTAATAAGCCAAGCTGGTGAATATTTCAGCTTTCGGTTAATCGTTGGCGCCATACTATAGGATCGCCCGGAATAGTCAACAGATTCAACGGCGTGTTCTCGAACGCCATGAACATAGGCCATACGGGGTAAGCATCACGTCGCGGGAAATGGCGCGTCGGTACGATCATCTTTGAGGGAGGTGTCCATACGGCCTCACCCCTCCCCTCCTTACAGGCCGTATCTGCCCGATTTCCGCTGTTGCCTCGCGTGCTGTGAGGATGCATGACTCATTAGTCTACCACTCGAACTCCAATCCTTCCGGAAAAAGGAATAAAATCATCCGTGAACGGTCTTTTGTCAAGCGATAAGCACGATTCGATCTTTCTAGAAATGGGCCGTACAACAAGCGCTAAAGCGGCTCCGCGTTAGAAATGGGGAAATAAACGTGGAAAATTACATCACCTGTATCACCTGTGCTCCCGTTGATCATCGAGTTCCTCGAGCGGGCGCCAGTAACGTCTCCATTCGTCCCTGCAACGTGCAAGAGTTGCCCAATGGACTCTCTCTGCTCGAGGGACACGATGAACTTCATACCATTCGTTCAGAGCTTTCACGAAGAAGTCTGACCATCGCATAGGCGGTCGTCCAGGCGTTCGCTTGACATCCCGTGGAATCCAGTCGGTGATCGCTCTGGTCCAGCGGTCGTCCTCGAAACGCATGACGTGCCCGGCCCACCTGATCTTCGAAACGGCGGCGTCTCTGATCTTCGATCGTCTGCGGAGTGCGGAGCTCACTTGCGTGTAGCGAGAAACTCCGAGCATGGCCCTTTCGATGGCGCGTTGAATAACGCCAACCCGTGTTCAGTGAGTGCTGAAGAGCTTGGGCGAGATGGTGTCGCCCTGGCGGACCCCTCTCTTCACATCGATGATGATCTCCTTGCAGGATGGTGAGATCTTGTCATGAAGTCCTGATGTACTGAGTAGGAATACCCTGGTTGCCCAGGGCTTCGATAACCGCTTCTGTCTCAACGGAGTCGAAGGCTTTCTTCAAGTCGATGAACGTGAGACATAGCGGCATCTTGTACTCTCGCGATACTTCAATGAGCTTCGTTACCGTGTGGATGTGATCGATCGTGCTGAATCCTCTTCGAAACCCTGCTTGCTCGCATGGCTGTCCTTCGTCTAGTGTTCTGCCAATCCTGTTCAGGATGACTCGTGTGAAGAGTTTGTAGACTACAGACAGCAGGCAGATTGGGCGATAATTGCCAATGTCGTACAGGTCTCCCTTCTTGTACAGCAACACAGTCTTGCTGGTTTTCCACGAGGTGGGTACCTTGCATTCCGACAGGTAGCGCGTGAAGAGTCGAGCCAGAGTTTTGACAAGAACTGGCGGACATCCTTCAGATGTTCGGGTCTGATCGGAAAATTACATTAACGGGGAAAATTTTTGCAAATGCGAGTCGTTTACCTTCGAAAGGGCAGATCTTCGTTCATAGCTCGATTTTCTCTTCCCATCAAGTGGTACAATTTTGCTGGAAAGATCCAGAAAACTGCTTCTTTTGTGATAAATAGAAGCAAAAGGCGCTCGGGAACTTCCCAATGGAGTGCGCCACTCATTCATCTTCCATTCGGAGCCACAGTGACACGTCTCATGAAACCGTCTTTTGTGACTAGTGTGAACGACAACGCCATCACGCTCACTCGGCCTAAAACCAAACCTCGCCTCTTAGCGATATTAATTGCTGAGAAGCTGTTTTCTCATGTGTTTACTCTGGGTAGGCAATCGTTTTCCGTATACCTAATGACTGCTAGCGTCGCATCCCACTTCGAAACCACGTGTC